ACAGACAAACATGAGCACCAACCCTGAGGTCTTCAGGCCAAGTTGCTCTGTATTTTCATCAAGGCAAAAAATAAGCATTTTAAAAACAACTAAATGTCAGATTCTTCCCTAAGTTAAAAAGGTCCCTTAAATATAAACTTTCAATATCAACTAGGGAGATTCTGCACAATCCCACACGATGCCAATGTTTTGTAGCCATTTATAAGCAGAAGCTGGTGTTCTTCGAGTATAATATTAGCATACATCCCTGAAAGACACTACTGCTTAAGACTTAAGTGAAAAAAAAAAAAGAAAAAAATCCAGCAAACGGACAATAAGATAGGTGCGAATGGCCAAAACCCCCCAAAACATAACAAAACACTGAATCCCTGAGGTTATAAAACACTGCTATAGAGGAAAATGTTCTCTTAAAGGAAGCACGTTAACCAAATCTAACTTNTAAAACACTGCTATAGAGGAAAATGTTCTCTTAAAGGAAGCACGTTAACCAAATCTAACTTCTGATTTCATCATCTGATACACATTTACTGAGCGAGGCACTGTTCCAAATGCTGTAGATACAGAAGTGGCTAGGATAAGGCTCATGCCTTCTCAGAATTTGCATTCCAAGGAGGGAGATGACTGGCAAGTGCTAGGACAGACCTGCCAGCCAGGGATCTCACTGCCCTACATGTCATTGCCCTGCAGACGTGCATCTGCACTAGTCCACAGGTCCAACAGCAAAGCCCACCAGACAACGGCTGGGCTCTTGGTCCAAATATAAATGAGGGGAGGCAGGGAGAGAGAGTACCAGTGGATGAGTAATGGTGGGACAGTGAGGGGAGGCCCGGGTCAGGCAATCTGCTTCGATCCAAAGAGCTGTAGCCTGCAGGAGACAGTGGGGAGGAAGGAGCAGGGTAAACTTGCCTCTGTGGGGCCAGCCCCTTCCACGGGGCTATGGAGGAAGCACTTCTTGGAGGAGGGGGTTCTGTCCACTCAGGGCAAGCCCTACACACCAGCCCAGCTGTTGACACCAGACCCTAGAGCTTCACAGTCTCATTTACAGAGGCTGCATTCCTGCTCCACTGGCAACAGTTATTGGGGTAGACTGCAAAATATGGCCACCAATTCCTTGCCACACCCCCAATCAAGGTGACTGTGCTTCTCCACCCCTAAAATCTGGGCTGGCCTGGTAGCTTACTTTGATCAATAAAACATGACAGAAGTGATAGTGGACAAATTCTAAGCCGAGACTCTAACAAACCTCACAGCTCCCATTCCAGCACTGAGAGTATTTTCATGACCACACAAACGAGGCCAAGCGGGCTCCCAGGAAGATGAGATTCTGCACAGAGAGGTTCCAGCTGGGGCCCCAGTCGTGTAGGTAACGCCATCCTAGACCATCCAGCCCCCTCCTAGACAGCCCAGCCCAGAAGAACCTCCAAATCAACATACAGACATGTGGCAACTGTTCAATGTTTTTTTTTTTTTTTTTTTCCCTCTTTTTTGTCTTTTTTTGTGTCCGGCAACGGATCGCAACCCTCAGTGTTGCGCCCGTACCGGACCGGGACCGGCAACGGGATCGCAACCCTCGGTGCTGCGCCCGCACCTTGCTCAGCCAGCGAGCAGGAACTGGTCTGTATGTGGGATCCAAACCCTCGGTGGGAGCGCCGCCGCGCTCCCAAGCGGCGCACTGTAGCAGTGCGCCACCAGGCCGGCCCCAAATGTTTGTTGTTTTAAACTACTATGTTTTGGATTGGTTTGTTACTTAGCAAAGCTAACTGCTACAGTCGGAGAGGATAGGGTACTTGGAAGAAGAATACAGCTAACTTATAATACAATACATTAAATTTTGATCCCCCCTAAAAGGTATGCATCAGTTGGTAACACAATGTAAAAAGTGTGATATGCAACAGCAATTTTTTCCAAATAAAATTCTTTCGTTTCTGGTAATTCTGCCAGGTATGTAAAAAAAACCAAATATGACAGTTATATATGATTAACAGAAACAATAATCTCAACTTATTAAAACTCTAAATATTTTGAAACCTTCACATAATGGTATCTCTGGTTTTTTCAGGTATAAAATAACCCAGATACTCAGTAAAAGCAAATTTCTCAGAGAAGAATTACATCTTATTTATGACTCAAAAACAAATGTGTGCTTTTTTCTTGTGAGTCTCAGTTTTGGTTGATAAAGACCATCAAGCAGGACAAAGATACTCTGTAAGTAAACACTAAATAGTGCAATTCTTTTTCTTTTAAAAAAATTTTGAACCTTCCACAAGCCTGAGCCATAGCAAATGTGTTTATCATAGGAAGATTATATGGTGGAAACGCTTCCAAATATTTGACTAGAAAAGACTTGGGAGCCCAATTAAATTCCCAGACCTTTAACTTGTTTCCTACAGAGAAGTCACCCAAGAGTTGGCGAGAGGGGCATCCAACTTTCAGACTACCTTCCCTGCATCAGTAGTGACATGGGAGTCGGACAGACAGGACCTACTGGTTTTGGTTACCATGGCCCTGATGAAATGATATTTGACTTCCTCCTCAGATAAGACCTTAAAAAAGCATTATGGGGTGCCCTTGAGTTCTGACACAGTGAATCTCGGGCACTAGATACCTGCAACCAAACAACAGTCAACCGCCAGAGACTGCCTTGCCCAGGGCTCCACACACGGTGCCTGCCTCAGGCTGCTCCCTCTCCACCCTCTCCCCCATGCACTGCATTCTGCAATAAGACACCACCAGAGCCCAAAGAAGGTTTCCTTTAGGTGTCTTCAGTCTTGCCCACAGCTCAATAATCTTTTTCTATGTAGCATCTTGATTCCTCAACAGAAATTTTCAAGTACAAAGAAAGCTCCTGCTAGAGTTTATGTTCTTTCTCTCGTCTTTACTTTCGTGTCACTAAGAGCAGGAACAGGTTCTAACAATGTTTCTTCAAACCAATATAAAAATATTAGAAAAAAGAGAATTTACTTATGCATTATATATGAAAATCAGTAATTTTTAAAAAAGAGCATTTGTTTTAATACCTCATAAAGAAACAGAAAATACTTTCTAATGTATCACGTGGATCAAAAAGTAAATGGTATTATTTAAACATTGATATATACATATATTTTTACTACATTCAATTGTTTTTGCCAACTCATAAAGAAACAGAAAATACTTTCTAATGTATCACGTGGATCAAAAAGTAAATGGTATTACTTAAACATTGATATATACATATATTTTTACTACATTCAATTGTTTTTGCCAGCATTATTGGTGCAATCTACTACTAGAGAATTTTCAAAATAAAAATTTTAATAAAATTTTTCACCAACCTAGAGAAACAAGTCATATGCTAGCAACATATTGTATAACACCTCTCACAGGCCAGGATCTCTGTGTGGTGTTAGATCAATCCTCACACAAGCCATTCTGAGAAAAAGGGACTATAATCGCCCCCGGGTTTCAGACAAGGAAGCTGACACTCACAGAGGCTAACTGGCATCCCCTCACCCAGGAGGCCAGGTACCCAGGTGGCCAAGCTAGGAAGGTCTGGGTGTAAACTACCTGGTTCCAGTTTGTACACTTCAGTAGTCCTCTGAGCCAGCCTCTCAAAAGAAGAGTCGAGAGACTGAACTATATCAGAATTTTAGAGGAAAGACAGGAGAATACCACTTTCTAAACTAAAAGAAGAAATTCAGATTCACTGTTTCCAAAGATTTTATTGTGTGTTACTAAAGGTACTCTTGGTCAACTTGATAAATATGCAAAGTCTAACCAGAAAATGGAATTTGGTATGTAATACTTGATCTTTAGAAAATATAAGGAAATACGCATCCAAAAAATCATACTTCTTACCTCAATGTCGAATACTTCTACGGTGTTGTCCAGCAGCTCCACTCTGATGTGCAGGCACTTCTCCAGCATTCTGGGTGAGAGCCTCTGCCCAGGCTCAAGGGTGCTAACTCCCACAAGGGTCTGGGCGCCCAAGCGTGTTCCAGCAGTCTGCAGAACTCTGTATGTTCCTTCTATCTCCCCCATTCTTCACCAGTGAAGAATGAAGAAAACATGAAAATGAAACAAGACAAAAACACACACACCAAGGAATTTTGTTACTTAGATATTAAAACAATGTAAAAAAAATAATTACTGGGTACACAGGAACCCTCTGTACTATTTTTGCAACTACTGCGAGTCTTAAATTTCATCAAAATAAAGAGCTGAAGATTATCTTCGACTCATATATGCACAGGTACAGCTTAAAATCACACGCACCACCCCCGATAACAATATTTCCCAGGAGCTCTCTGAGCCAGGCACACGTTAACTCATTCAACCCACAAGACCTCATTAACAAGTGACATCATCACAACTCATCTAGCAGGGGAAAGAGGGCCCAGGGGATCACATGCCTTCCCTGGGCTGCCTAGTCTAGTCCCCAGCACATCTCTCTCCACCAGCCCAGTCACTGTGCTGATGACCCTTTTTAAGCGCTGGACTGTGCTGTTTCTAGCAAAGGTGAACGGGCACCACACAGCGCAATGTCCAGGCAGTACACAGCATGGTCTGACGCATTCATGCAACTGCCTCTCACCTCTGCTGACTTTATGCAGAGTAGAAGACACTCAGGGTGAGGAAAATGCCAAGAAAAGTAGATGAAGACAGCCATGCTTGTCTTTGCTAGCTCTGCACTCCTCGGTTTTTCTAATTTGTGTCTCACCGGGGTACAGTGGGTGCCACTGCTGGTTTGGGAGGTAATTTCAGATATGGCACTGAACGAAAGCCTGGACAGGGTAACAAGGACCACACACCAGGTATCAGGAGGCACCTGCCCCAGGCCAGGCCCTTCCCGGCTCCTTCCCTACCCCATCCTTACAATAACCTGTTAACAGTTCACCTAACAGATGACCATGCTGAGGGTCCAAGAGGTTCAAATAGCTGGCCCAGGGAGGACTCACGTCCTTGTCAATCCTCCTTGTTGTGCTAAGGGAGAAGCAGAAGCAAGTTTGTAAGCTATTAAGTTGAACAGAGTTAATCTCTTCGTCTTTGTGGTGGCTGGCTGGTACTCTCTTCCTAATTTTTAACACAGCTACAATCTAATAGCACCGGCTTGTTTTTAATTGTATTTATTAATATAGTTACCTATCATTTATGGCAATTTTCCCTCCTAAATGTATTATTTATGTTTAGATATCAATCTAAAGAAAAATATTTAACAGTGAAACCTCATATGGCAAAAGACATGGTAAAAGTGACAGAGTGAAACACAAGCCAGACGTCTAAGTCAAGGCAGAGTCAGCGCTGCAGATGTCGTTTCATCTCACTAGTCACCATCAACATGCCTCCCACTGACAGGCAGCAACCTTTGGAAGAAATAACCTCAGTAAACTCCTAGTCCACCCCTTGCTGCCAGCTTCATGTTCCAAGTCTCTGGGCCTTTCCTCTTTTTCATGCTTATTTTGTTATCACGACAAAACAAACCAAGAACCTTTTGCCTCTCCAGCGAAGTCTGAAAAGCTTCTCAGTGACTCACTGCCAAGCAACTCCTATTGCATACTTAAATCCTATCTCACAAAGACAACCCTCCCACCCATCTGGGTGAGAATTTCCACACACATCCGACTTATCAAACAAGAAAGCAGAAAATGAGAAAGCTAAAATCCCCGGGAGAAGAGCCATGTGAGTAGTGTGAGTGGAATAAGGAGGTGGTGCATCGGTCTGCCAAGCGAACCCCTACCCACCTCCTGCACAAAGCTGGTTCAAACGCTGGTGGACAGACTGGCCCTGCCCCTCCCCTACTGCACGTTTATTAGCAAGCCACACGTCTGGCTTAGACTAACAGTCACCTATTATCTCCAGAGTTCTCTCTCCATGCTGTGTGCTCCCGGAGGACAGGAGCTTAATTCTTACTGTAAACGTTTGCTAAGTATTTACTTAATGTCACTGACATCAAAGAACATGAACTGTCTTATCATGCAACGCACTGTACAAACTACAGTAACGAAAGACTATGGCAACAGACAGAACAATTTAGAAAATTATTGTTTTCACACCCCTAATGTTAATCATAAGACATATGAGGTTTTAGAGAAACACAAATATGAGCTTTTTAATTTCAATTTCACAAATTTTATATATTGGGTATTGAATGCAAAAGTAAGGGAATGTAAATGAAGAAAACTCCCTCCTACAAGGTACCTCAAATGTGAAAACAGATGAAATTAGAAATAAATGATCTATAAGTTCTTGGTCAATTCACAACACTTACCAAATACTGAAACAGGTATAGGATGTTCTACTTTGGTCACCCAAACAATGCTTTCCCATAAGTGAGATTACAATTCCAAAAACATATGTATAACCAAAATATATTTTTAGAAGTCACTTCTGTTACATCAGACAAGGGGATAATATCCAGAATACATAAGGAATTCAAACAATGCAACAAAAAAACCAAAAACTCAACAGTGAAAAACCAAATAACCTAATTAAAAAACGGGCAAAGGACCTGAACTGACATGTCTCAAAAGAAAACATACAAATGGCTAACAGGTACGTACAAAAATGCTCAACCTCGCTAATCATAGGGGAAATGCAAATTAAAACCCCAGTGAGGTATCATCTCACCCAGTTAGAAGGGCTGTTATCAACACGACAGAGAATAACAAAAGCTGGTGAAGGTGCAGAGAAAGGGGAACCCTCCCACACTGTTGGTGGGAATGTAAATTGGTATAGCCATTATGGAAAAAAGTATGGGGGTTCTTCAGAGAACTAAAAATAGATCTACCTTACAACCCAGTTATCCCACTACTGGGTATATACCCAGAAATGAAATCTTTGCACTCTCATGTTCATTACAAAAGTACTCACAACAGCCAAGAGATGGAATCCACCTAAATGTCCATCAACAGATGAATGGATAAAAAAAGCTGTGGTATATATATACGCAATGGAATACTATTCAGCTAAGAAAAAAAAAAAAAAAGAAATCCTATCATTTACAGAAACATGGATAGAACTAGAAACAATCATGTTTTTTTTTTAAATTTTTATTTTGTCAA